TAGTACTAATTCCGTGTCTATCAGGGTGTTTTTAATTCTTTTATTTATGCTTATTAGTTAAAACTGTAAGTCTAGAAATCAATAACAATATCTGTATGTAAAATAATTTCCTGGAATACGATAATCAGTTTTGTTGAACTTAGGACGAACTTGCAACTATGAAGAGTTCTTGGCCTTCTATGATATGTAAATATTGTAAATTTGTTACTCGTACATAAAATTTATTGTACCTTGTATCTAGTTTTTGTGTTTTGTAATTATTTGTTACATAAAATTTCTTGTACCATAATATGTTAAAAAATAAACGCTAAAATTCCTTTATAATACAAAAAACAAATACCTAAATGTAAACAAATAAAATTTTGCATTAAAAAATTAAAATGAAAGATTTTTTCCCCTGAATGTTTGGGCCAAACACATGTGTGCACATTATACATGGCGAAATACGGTATATGACTAAAATTTTAAGTTTACAAATTGCTAATTTGTGTATGAAAATGATAGCATTTCAACTAAATCTTGAAGGGTTAAGTGTGTGTGGGAACACAGCTGAAAAGAGGTGATAGGAAAGGTGAAGGGTAAAAAAAACAGAGTATAGCTTTTTATCGCCAAGATTCAAATATAATTTAAAATGTCAATATATGCCAGGTAGTCATCCAACTTGATAATAGGCTATTATTAGAAAACCAAGTAACAAGAGGATGACAAATCTAATCAAGTTCTAAGTATTATTTTGAGGCTGGCATTTTAATAAAAATTTGTTGACAATTACACTTGATTGCAATTAATTATATTAAGGATCACAATATTTTTTCTTATGTTTTCTTCCAATCTTTATCAGGTTAAGTAATACAATACCTGTGTACAAAATATATATTTCCTTCTTGATCTGCCAAAAATATTCTAATAGTACATACCTGAGCAAGAAGAGAATACAGTATTATGCATATTAATTTTGCTAATATAAGATATAATAAAAGAAAACTATGAAGTGATTTAATAAAGTATGATATTACATGAGTTACAGAAAAACAGAACTTTTCATGAATCCTGCAAGGATCTATAGTACATTCTTTTCTAGAATAAAAGAAGTTATCCAGCAAAAACAATCCTTAAGTCATTTTGGGGTAAGTTTTGATTCATATTATATATAAGAGCTATCAAATGTTTATGAGGTCAAGAAACTGTTTCACTCAGAAACCTCAGTTTTTGTAGCAGGTGGTTTTCTTGTCTATCTTCTGTCAGGTGCCTCATGTCAACATAATTATTTACAGCAGTTTTCTAGTTTTCTATCCCTTTGGCAGCACATAATCTATTGCCTACTATGAGCTAAGAATAGCAATTGCCAGAAGCAACCAGCTAACCAAGTTAATTTTATACATGATTCTTAGTTAATAAGGAGCCATTTTCATTACTTCTAAAAAAGTTCACAGTGTATTGATCAAGAGTCCTTTAACAAACTTGTGTATGGATTAAGCAGTATACCAGCTGCCCCAAGTCTGATAACAGAAAACCATGGGTGTAAATAAGACAAATAATTCTTAAAACAACAAAAATCTATGATGATTACAATAATAAAACTAATGGAGTCTACCAAGATGAATAAAATGTCTTACCATAAGCATTATGGGCTCATAGACTCCTTGCTTAAATTTGTCTCTGTTATTTCTCAGCCACAAAACAGCATCGTATGTGTCACGGTATCTCTGTCTCAGCTTATCTTCCTTTTGATTCATAAGATTGTCAAATTGTACAATCTGATCATTCACACCTAAAATTGGACAATAAATCAAGGTATTGTTTCTCTGAAAACTTTCATTAGTAAATTATACTATTAATAATACAAAACAATATCTTGGATCCACATGTTACAAACACCACTCTGCAAGTACCCAGCATAGTCAGTAATACTGTATCTTCTTTTGTCATTTAACAATTGTCAATAGTTTTTTAATGTATGCACCCTGGACAAATCATCCTCAAGTTTTCAAAGACCTGGGATAAAAGATAATCTTTAAGCTATTGAAAATAAATAGGCCACATGCAAAAGAATGAGAAAACACTAGATTTCCAATCGGGAGACAGTCACAATAAGCATTCAAAATTATGAGAGAAAAATTATTTTCAAATTAGATTCATATATACAACAAAATTGAGGAAAGGAAATAATGGAATAAAAAT